TATACTTCCAAATATAATAACAAATCGCAAAATAGTAATCACCAAAATATTATTCATAATCACAATGTAACATGCTTCAAAATAGCATTTGGAATCGCAAAGTTGTGTTCTTGAAAGCATCCTTAAAAATCGCAAAGTAGTACTTTTCAAAATATCATTCATAATCACAATGTAATATTCTTCAAAACACTCGGAATTGCAAAGTATTCTTCCTCGAAACAAACACGCACAAAAAAAAATCACACAATAAACTTACCACACGCAAAACCCCCTTACTACCCTTCCTTTACATGGACCCCGACGTCTTCACATTCCCCCCCCTGCCTTTCAGACTGGCCCGACCTCGCACCCCGAAGGCCAGGAGCTGGGTCCCCTCAACTCCGCCCTTCCTGTGGTCAGGTTCGAGTGCACGGGCCGACAGGGGTACTTCGGCGACATGGACTTCGGGTGCAGCGTCTTCCACTACTGCACGGACTCCGGCGAGAGGTTCTCCTTCAAGTGTAATCCTGGCTTGAAGTTTAACGAGGTGAGAGGCTGGTTGGTTTTGTGGAATGGATGTTTTTGTTGTTTTTACTGAGTGGGTATTATGATTTTTTTTTTTACTGAATGGGTTTGTTGTTTTTACTGTGAGTGGATATAATTATTCTATTAGTATCTATTGTTATTTTAGTTTTATTGATTTATTTTATACTGAATGACTGGACTGAGTAGTTGGTTTTACTTGAATGGAAGTTGCAGTTGCCTTTACTGAATGGAATATTGTGGCTGTTTGTAATGAATGGAAATTCCTTTGTACTGAATAAGGGATAACTTCGAGATTAAGTAGGAAAGGTATGAGTGAGAATGGATAATTCCTTAACAAAAAATGCATGAGTGGTACTTCGATATTATGTCTCCATCAAAATTCCGTGGTATAATGTCTAAACGAGATTCTTATACATTCTTTTTACCTTTGTTACAATGAAGAGGATATGATAACCAGATAGGCAGAGAGAGAGAGAGAGAGAGAGAGTGAGAGAGAGAGAGAGAGAAAGAGAGAGAGAGAGAGAGAGAGAGAGAGAGAGAGAGAGAGAGAGAGAGAGAGAGAGAGAGAGAGAGAGAGAGAGAGAGAGAGAGAGGGGGGGGGTAATTGAAAAAGAAAAGGAGGAAGACAGTGGTGTATGAGGGGGGGGATGGAGATATAAAAGATAAGAGATTGAAGAAGAAAGAAAATTGAAATAGAAAGAGGGAAAAGAGAGAGAAAGAGAGAGAGAGAGAGAGAGAGAGAGAGAGAGAGAGAGAGAGAGAGAGAGAGAGAGAGAGAGAGAGAGAGAGAGAGAGAGAGAGGACAGATGCACTGTACACATGCTTGGATATGCACCAGTAAGCATTTATATAGTGACAGATATGGATAATGTTTACATAGATAGATATACAGATACAAATAAAGGAAGATAGATATATAGCTTTATAGATGGAAAGATGGACAGATAGATAGATGGTGATGGGTTGGGGGAAAAAGACAAAAAGAAAAGAAAAAAACTGATATATATATTTAAAATTAGATAGAGAGATATGTAAAGTGAAAAAAAAAACAGAAGATGAGCAAATAAGGATGGGTAGATGGACAGATATATAGTGCGTATGAGCGAGAGAGAGATGGAGAGAAGGGGGTATAACCAGGAGAAAAAAAAAAACAAAAAAAAACATGAGAAAGGAGATAATGTTTTGTGTAACAAAGGTATCATTCATACGATAGATGATATGTATTATCATATACAGCGAAGAAATAAATCAGTAAAAAAATATTGTAATAACTCAAAATGGGATTTCACTTTCATGCAGTTTTCTAACTAGTAAAAATACCAACCATCATGATAAATGCAAACGAAACAAACATGAGTAATTCACTGTTAATTCCCCCGCCATTATTTCAGGAGACGACGTCGTGTAGTGCTGGCTTCTTCGGCGACTGCACCCACCCAGAGGTCCAGGGTTCGGCCGGACGCAACCTGACGAACGAAGTGGCACCAGTCGAAAGCTTCCAGAACGTCCCTATCTTCCAGAAGATCAAAGACACGCAACAAGACGACCCGAGGGACTACCCGGAGCCCTTCATCCAGCATTATGACCCCGCCCTCGACCTCGATTACGATTATGAGTATTATGACTCTGATGTCGTCGATGCCGAGCCGTCGGCCTCCAACCTGGAGCAGCGAAACAGCCAGATCAAGCGCTCGCCGGCAACGACGTGGGGCAACAGCATGACCTCGGCATTGTCTGCTGTGGCTTCCCTCGCCAACATTCCGTTTGACAATCCCTCCAGTGCTACAGACAACGGTTTGAAGCGCATCGAATCGAAGCATGAGCCCGTTGATCGAGCGTTTATTGCTCGCCCTCCACGCAGAAGGCCGCCCCCTCAAAGAAAGGCCAGTGGCAGCAACGGCTTCTTCCAGATTCCCTTCTTCCAGGGTGCTCCCAAGAAGAGCATTGGTCCAGCAGTTAATCATATCCCTGGACATCGCCAAAACTTCATCCAGTTTCATCGACCTGTTCAGCAACATCCAAGACCTAATATCAACCATCGTCCAGAGAAGTTCAACCCAAATCCTGCTCATCATCAGCCTGTGGATGTATTTGAGCAGGACGATCCTTTCCTGCACCACGAAGAATCTGTTCGTCAGACAACACCTGACACCTTCAGGCCTTCCTCTCTTATAACTGACGACCCAGATGACTTCCAGCCTGTCACTCCTGCATCCAAGCCGCCTTCCACGGCAGCCCGGGAATCCAATTTCGTTCGCCCTCATCGTGAAGCAAACCACCAGACAAGGCCAGGAGGATCTACAAGCTTCCAGTCATTTTCGCCAACGGGCCAAACTTTTAGTCATGCTGGAACTCTCCCACTCCAAGAGCCGTTTGCCGTACCACAGGCGTCTCCCCGTCCACAGGGTAGCAGCTTCCTGCCAACTCCTAAATTCCCTAGCTCTGGTAACTTTGTCTTTAACCAACCTCCCATACACCCTGGAATCTTTAATCGGCCATTGTCTCCTGTTACACCTCCTCCTGGTTCTGTATTTAGCCGTCCACCAACACCCCAACAACATGTGCAAAATGTCGGCCGTCCATTTGTTCACCATCAGCAACCACAAGTATTCAATCATCCACCAACAGTCAACCAGCAGCCGCAGACATTTGCCCGACCACCTGTCTCACCAGTGCACGGGCAAAGCTTCAGTCTTCATAATAACCCACAGTCTTTTGTGCGTCCCACATTCCCACCTCACTTGCCACCAGCTATCACTCACACAACTCAACCCCAACATGATCAGATATTCATTCATTCCACATCTCCCTCTCCTCTTCCTCCTCGTCCTCCTCCTACTCCTCATCGTATTCATAATTTTGGTCAACCAGTCATTACTCATGAGGAAACTAGCTTCAATCAACCAACAGGTGGCCTTCACTTTGCCCAGCCTCCTAACCCACACGAAAATGTTCATACATTCAGTAGTTCAACTTTACCACCGTTCAGGTCACCGACGCTGTCACAGCAGGAACGACCAACACTCTCAGAGCATCCAGTTCAACCTGCCTTTGTTCACCCTGAACTACATGAAGCAGTAACACCTGCTACAATATTGTCTAGTACACCAAGTTTTGTCCACCCAGAAAATCACTTTGCACCACAGGGAGTCTTCCATTCACCTCAGCAGTTTGTACCTGAAGAAGAATTTGTTTCACCTGCTATCCCAACTTCCATTCCAGCTATTCATTCAATTCCAGGTGTGCCATCAGCACCTGGAACTTTCGCCTTTTCAAAAGAGATTCTTAAGGAATCAGATCAACCTGCTGGCCAGATACAACATGTAGAACCGGCAACAGAAGCACCACTCCCTGAACAAAGACCAGCAACTCGACGGCGACCTATTGCAAGCAGACGCCCAGGGGAAGTAGTAAGAAGACGTCCGGGTGCTTCTCAGAGTGCACGTGATGCAGCAAGGATAAGGATAAGAGGCAGAACGACGACTCCCACGCCAACTACAGTTGCTCCACTTATAACTGGGTTAGAAAATTCACAGTTCCACAACCAGTTCATACCAGAAGATGGAGGCTGGCCAAACAATCTGCGCTTACATCATGAACTGGAGGGAGTGACAAATACAGAATTTGAGCCAGAAGAAGATCACAGACTGGACAATACTGGATTTGGAGCCACAAGTCAGAATAATGCCCCTAGTCAAGACTATGATGAACACAGAGGTATTCCAAAGGAAATTAATGAAGTAGTTGAAGGCCCTAAAGATTATGTATATAATGTAGAAGACAGAGTTCCTGAGTATGTGGACTACCAGGATTACGATAATCTTCCAACAACAACAGCAACAACAACAACCACTTCTACTACTACTACTACTACTACCACTACTACCCCAGCCCCACAAACAACACCAAGATTCCGCGGGCCTTTGCTTCGCCGTCGCCCAGGCATCAGAGAACGTCTGCGTACCCGGACGACAACACCAAGGCCGACTACTGAAGCCCCAGACGAGGATTATGTTAATTCCCCAGAAGTCACAGATCCTCCCACTCAAGAGAGAACAACAACTCTCAGCCCATTCAGACAAAGAATAAGGGACAGACTGAAACGTCTTCGAAGTCGACCCAACAGCAACACCGAAACCACTACACCTCTAACCACCGAGAATGAGGAGAATATTGTGACCTCCCCTGCACCTCCTCCAAGAGTCACAAGAAGACGTTTTGATCCTGAAAGATATCAAAGATTTAGAGAGATGATCAGGAAAAGAAACAAAAATAGAATAAAAGAGATCAATAATAAGAGTGAAGAAGGTTCAAATTCAGATAATGAGGATAATGTAGGAGCCACTGAGAGTCCAAATACTGATTTTGAAGTTACAAGGCCTTCTGTACAGGATCGACGGATCAATAGATTTAGAACGGCAACTGTAGAATCAACAGAGGAAAATGTTCTCCTTGTTAGGGAAATCACAGGATCAGATTTAGAGACTCAGGAGACCAGCCAGGATGTAGTGAAGGAAGAATTCCCACCAGAAGGAAATCAAGCCAGTGGAGACCCCACATACGACGATAATGCTGAAGAAACAGACAACTCTGCCTATGAGGATTATTCTGCTGAGCCAGAGCAACTGGAGGAGACAAGACCTGTTGAATCTCCTGATGATGATGGAATGTCTGATAATGAAGGCACTGAGAGGAAAATAACAAATCCAAATTTTAGAGCTCGTTTTCGGGAGTTTCTGAAAAACAGAAGGAACAGAGTTAGTGCACGATATAGTACAACACCATCTCCTGAAGGTGAAGAAGAGAGAGATGTAAGACCACCAGAGGAAGATGAAGGACATGTTGATTTCAATCATCAGTCTCAAGAAAGCCAAGGGAGGTCATTTTCAAGTAGGAGCTCCATTGAAGACATACCAGAAAAGACAAGCATGAGTATTAAAGAGAAATTAGAAGAAATTAACAGGAATCGTCAAGAGGCTCGAGCTAAATCTCTTGCAAACAGGGAGCACCTTCGAGGGGAGAGACTGAGTCGTAGAATTCCAATTCGGCCTGGAAGCACGAATAAGCTATCAGGTCCTCAGAAAGATGCGACAACTAGTGACTCTACACCTACACCTGAAAGTCTAGCAGGTTTCCAATCAGTTGAAATCACACAAGATAAAACCAGTGAAATCTTTGTTGAAGACAATGCTCATGAGGAGTCATCTGAGGTGCCATCTGCCAGACCTCTTGTTCAGGTTCGACCAAATGAAAACAGATTTATACCATCCATTGGCAAACCACTAACAGTGTTCAAATCACAAGAAGTGCCAGAAGTGGATGAACCCGTGATTATTACAGCTCCACCTCCTATTGAAGACGGTGATGTTGTAATGTCAGTTAGAGTTTCTGCCAATCTGGGTGGATCACCAAGTAAAAGCAGTATTGAGGCGACTCTTGCTGCAGACTCTGATGTAACTTACTCATCCGAGCAGGTTGAGCAGCAGTCAGAGGATGAGGATGAGGATCTAAGCCTGGCCCAGTCTAAGATTCAGGAGGTGACTTTTGAGCAGTCAGACGAAAAATCACTCGGGATTCAGGCAGATCATTCTTTGGAATCGGAACAGGAAGCATCAACTAGTACAACATCAGTACCAGATTACATAACGTCGATTCCCTTAACAACCACTTCCTCAGCAGCCCCAGAATACAGAACAACAGGACCCTCAACCACCACTTCTTCAGCATTACCTTCACTTATACCATTGGCATCGACGCCGTCTCTGCCCAGGCCATCGGAGGAAGAGGAAAGCGACTCCGACAGCCTGTCCAAGCCATCCGTGCCGAGGGTTTCGAAGCCAACGTTCCAGCTGCGTCCGGCGGGGCACAAGAGGGAGGACGACCACGTGGCCATCTCTGCGTCAGACTACAGCGGGGAGGACACCGTGGTCACGCCTGTGCCCTTCTTCACCATCACCATGTCCACGGATGAGCCCATGTTGCCCCTCGAGAGGTTAATGCCCTTCTTCGGGAGACAGTGAGAACTGTTCCTTTAGTATTTATATTGTAATATTACGTATCAAGTAAGACAAGAGAAGGTGTGTTTGTGTGTGTGTGTGAGCGAGCGAATAGAACGTGAATGATAACAGTAAGGAAAATTAATATCTTCCATACACATATACTGTGTGTGTTTTAGTTTTGGCGTGTATGTACACGCTCTCGTGCACATGTACCCTTGTGTGGTTAGGGTTCAACAGGCGCTTCCATTTTTTGACAAGATTGTTATTTTACTCAGATATTTTGTACATATTTTTCTATAAACCTAGAGATTACCCAAATAATTTACATGTGTTGCTATTACTGTCTTCAGCATAAAGGGAAAAATTGAACTCAAGCACCTACATCTATACGTTTAGATCCCCCCCCCCTAAAAGTCTACCATATGTTTTTCTCTCTGAACATGTATAGTACTATGTAAATGATGTGATATAACAAATTCCAGAATAATCCTAAGAAACAAAGTTTTACCGGGTGTGGAAAAGTTCACCTAGATTTAAAACTAGAGTTCTTTAATCTGATCATTCTCTGTGCAAATAATATGTGCCTTTTTTGTATATACAAACCGTTGACCAGTATATTTATCTTCTATATTTATTTTTTGTGCTGTGGTCAAACTGTACAAATAAATGTACTAAAATATATGCATCATTCATTTATATACCTGTTTAAACACAAACTGATTAATATATACTGATAGACTTTCATGTTTATCAACGTAAAATATGTATGTTTCCAGTGTATCTATGTTGATATTTGTATAAACAAAACACACGCACACACACACACACACACACACACACACACACATACACACACACACACGCGCGCGCGCGCGCGCGTGCGCGCTTGGGTATGTTTGAGCGCGCGCGCAACCCAAGCGCCATCCTCCCTCAATACACACGGACACACACTTGTACATCACTGAACAATTCATGA